AGTCTGTTGTTTCGAGAATGGATCTAGTCGAGGAAGAAACTAGTATTACTGAAAATATTAAAACTGTAGTCTATTTTATGACACTATGAGGATATTCAAACAGCTTGAAGATTTCAGATGTAGATTTTTATCCATGTCTGTTTAGCTACTTATAAAAGTTGTCAGTAGTGTCACACTGTCTCTCTCTATATTTTGTATAAACACACAAGCAGTTGCAATTTCTTTGTACACGGTAAATTATTTCAGAAGAATGCGGTAGTCTGAACTTGGTTAATTTGTCCCCCCTTGACTGTTTTTCTGTTCAATGGGCCTGCTAAGAACCATACACAGATTCCAGAAATGAGTAATCGTCTTTTCGCCTAGTTTTGAAATCTTTATATATTCCCACTGTTAACGTTAGAACAAGACATATAATAGGCGAACAATATTGTTGTTTTCAATTAGATCTTCTTCAGGCTTTACTCTAATTTACATAGATTTATGTATAAGTTTGCGGATCAAATTTTAAAAACATAGTGCGTTAAATTTTCAATAGTTGGTTTGTAAGGATTACACTTGTTTTTACGAGTTGATCACGGACTGATATCAGTTAGAGAACCATTGAAAACCAGCACTGGAGTACTGGACAGCCAGCTGTTTCATCCTAGTTTGGAAATCACCACTAAGGTTCGAACCCAGGTCCTTCCAGTTACAAAGCAAGCTAGGTCGTATACCATTCAGCCACTGGCAGCACCCGATTCAATGGCTAGCCCATGAATTCTAACTTCTATCAGTTCGTGATTTTAGATCGATCACCAACCAATGTCATCGGTGGGACATCCATCCTCACAGACTTGACTGGATGGACCTAACTGGTGATGGCTTCTCACTAGAACTCAAGGAATCTCCGTCTTGTAGCAAGTCACTGGCGAGCATCGGATTAATTTTCATTTGTGGGTATGTACTGCCGATGATTCTCAAACTAGGATGAAACAGCTGTGCAGTACTCTAGTGCTGGTTTTCAATGGTTCCCTAACTGATATCAATCCGTGATCAACTAGTAAAATAAAATGTGTTATATGTTTTGAACGTCAGTAATAACGATGATTATTATAATAGCAAAAATAATATTGATAATAATGTTTGTGCAGGTGGCGATAAGAATAACGAAGGTAGCCATGTGTATGTGTGTATATGTAGACAATTCAATAAATAAATAATTAAGTCAAATCTTAAGAGTTACACAATACTAAAGGTAGGTGAAGTGGACAGATAATCAGAGTTCATACATTAAATGTCATAAAAGTACAAAGGAAATGGAAAATAAGAAGTGGCGGAAGGTTTACTTTGATTAGAATTCACCCCCTAGGCCAAGGGAGAGAGATACAAAGGTAGGACAAACTTTGTTTATACGCAAAGGCACTAGAATTGTTCTTTCGAATTAATCCCCATAGCTTCGGTTATGTGTTGTATAAACCACGGAATCAAGTTCCGTTCAGAAGGTCTCATGGGATGCGATAGATAACGTTAAAGACACTTCTTCTGTCCACTTGGTGACAACTCTCACCATTCAATTCAGTCAAAATAGAACTTCTTATAGGTTTTATTTGGCCTTTTCCAAACCATGAAGGAAGATGCTCATTAACACGTTTGTTGAGCCGTCTAGTTCTTCAATCTATATAGCTTTCTCTAGGAGTAGCTAAATTTGTGGATACACATAGAAGCATCACAGGTAGACAGCTTGTCTTGTCGCTTGAGCAATCATAATTTGTCGTCTGGAAATTGGCAAACAAAGAGCGGCAGTAGTATAAGTCCGTTTTCGCTATGGTAAGAGCATTTAGCTTACTATATGAATTTCAAAGAAGTTGCAGCCACTTATACAGTATGACGTAAGGATCAGTTTCTGCGTGTTCAGGTTACAACCAGTCAGATTTTTAGTTGCTACATTCACTTCATTTCAAGACAACCTGTTTACGACTTACTTCATTATGAAGTAAACACCAAAAACATCTAACTGAACTCCAAACTTTCGCCATTCTTTCAAAATTTTAATTTAAAATGTTTGTTCTACCGTTGTTTTATGGCCATTCCTTTGTATTTTGAGTGGAACATTTGGTTTAAAGCTATCCCTTTCCCAATCTTACTATATTATAGTGAACTGGACAAGGTTCAGAAAGGAGTGCATCCCCTGTCAGAAATCGAACCCTAGACCACGTCAGGTCTGGTTGGCAAGTAGCATTCTACCACTAGAGTATCGATGCACAAAATGTTATCCACGGGGCGATTAGGATCATTTATAATGAAATCGGAATTCCATTTTTCGGATGTTTTTCTAAAAATGGAGATCTGATGGTTCTCCTCAAATAACAATCTACAGAGAACCAACGTGGAATTGTTAGTACACAAACTTTTATAGTTTGGTCCCTTTGGGAAGAAACAGAAATCTGATCCACTCGTTATCCTCACGAATAAGAAGGATATGTTCCAGTGATACAGTCGATGGGGAACTGAGTCGACTGCGAAAAGTTCCCATGAAGAATGGATATCCTTCAATATTCATCGAGAACACATCACAGTAAAGTAAACGCCGAAAGAACACAGACTGTGCCGAAGAAACTGCTATTTACGGGCGTTGAATTTAAAGGTGATACCTCAGCTTAGATCCTGAAGAATCGCTTATGTATATCACTGAGCTAAGCCTTCTTTATGGCTGAGCTATGCATCAATTTCTACAGCCGAAAAATGACCAATGGATGTGTGAAATATAAACTGTCCTCATTTTGGGGCCACCTCAGTGTGTGTGTTTATTAATTCACCTGCTCGTGTGCAGATAGTTATATTAGCCGCACAATGCACACACTTTCCAAACTCATCTCTGAACATTATCCGAGCACCCAGTGAACTCAAGCCATGTAGATCCACCAGAGTCTTCTTTCAAGATTATCTACAAGGTGAGGCCGATTGGTACAGACAGCATCAGGTTTCAGCTTTTGTGTATGGCAGAGGCGCTGGTGATTCGTCAATACAACCAAGAACTCTGTATTCAGAAAACGTTTGTCCAGTCTCTTATTCTTCCTTCGTATTAACCTCTTCACTTGTCGTTTCCTGTAAACAATTTTAATTTCTTTTTTTTTTTAATTAAAATTTTTTATTTAATTTACTTTTTCTTTATTAATTAATTCACTATTATCACTCTCATATGTTCCTTTTGTACATTTTCACATCCTCTTCACGCTTGTTAAATTGACACTCAACTACCACCTTCCTTCTCACTACTCAATAGCAATTTAAACTTTATCAAATATCTAACTTAGAGCCGTTGAATACCACCTAATTTGCAAATTCTTTTTTACTTCTAAAGCCACTTCTGAGTAATTATATCAATTACGTCCCTCCTTCCACCTGTTGCTAAATAATAGACTATTATATTTTTGACAAATTTAAATACGACTGTATAGCCAGGCTGTGAAGATAATTTCGTCGATAAAGAAAAGGAAATTGTCTTCGTTGAATTTGTCTTTTATTTTCTGCATGGCTCAGTGGGTATTTTCGCTGAATGGTTAATTATACACCGGCTTTTCAGTAGAATCGAACACATTTATCCTAACCTCTTGAATGTTCAGCACAGCAACCACTTGACAGCTTTGTCTTCTGGTGCACCAAAAGCTCTACCACGCCATCTGTATAACTCTTTGGGATTCCAACAGGCGTCCATATCACGTTTAAAATACAACTCTCCGCTCGATTACCGAAGTTAACCAAGGTTGGGCTTTGTTTGAAGCATCTAGTTTACTGCGCGTATTTCAAGGAAGTTTCAGGCAGCTATGCAGTAGGGCACACGGATCAGTTTCCTTGAGCAGAGACTGCAGTGGGTCAGTTTTCTTAAGTTATAACATTCACTGCATTTCAAGACAATCTCTTTAAGACTTACTTCATTATGAATTATGCACCAAAAGCATCGAATTTAAATGCAAAATTTCAAAGTGTTAGTCTGAAATTTTCGTTCTACTGTTGTTTTACCGCGATTCCTTTGTATTCCGAGTGGAGAGTGGGGTTCCAGTGGCTCCCTTCTCCAATCTTCCTATGTTATAGTGAACTAGGCAAGCCTTAGAATGGAGTGCGTCGCTTGTCATGAGTCGAACCTTAGACCATGTGAGGCATAGTTGATTGGCAAATAGAATCAACGCACAAACCTTTCATCCACGGGGCGATTAGGATCACTCATAATTACTATCATTTTTCTTTAAAACCACTCATATTGCCTCAGTTAATATATGTATATTTTATCCAGAAATATTACAAATAATAATTATAAATAATGCTAAAACTTATAATTTTTTAACAAAATGATTATTTAAGTAGTTTTGATTAAAAATGAAAAAAAGTATTAAAGTTAGGAGAAATTAAATCCCATCATGTTTATCGATGGAAATACACAGAAAGAAAATGGTGACTAAAAAGTCAGAAAATAGAAGTGATTCATGCAGCAACGATAACCAACTACAAGAACGGAGAACCACTAAAAGCACTATTGCGCAATACTTCAGCACATATATAAATATGTGATAAATAAAAAATTGAGTAAAAGGAGTGGAACAGCTGTAGAAGATACTTAGAACTCAGCTCAACTGAGAAACTATAAGGCTATAAACTATCAAATAGAGATATCATAATGCTTTATAATAAGGGAGAAAATGGGAGACTTCTAACTGACAAAATTAGGGGAAGATTGATTGACTCTAGCTGGACATACACCTTGAATAAGATTAGAATAGAATCGCTTGCGTGAGAACATATACATCGTATTATGTGTACGGACAACGCAGTGTAGTAGTCAGGCAGTATGCGGTAGGTTGGCTCCAGTGTGGGGTGATAGACATGTAGGCGCAGAATCAATAATGCTGAATAATAGAGGTCACACACTACGGAAGGATGGAGGCATCAGCAGCGGTGATAGTGGTAGGGCGTATATCTCACAGTGTATTTGTGCGTGAGGTGTTTGAGCATTGAATAAATTTCAATTAGATGAAAAATACAGAGAATTGTCCAATGAAATTTAATACACCTAATAGCATAATGAATACATGTATACATACAATCAAATACCATTTCAATGTTTCACGTTCTGATATAATTTTAAATTTAATTACTGACGAAGATTCACTACGATTATCAACTTGAAATTCATTAAATGGTGTATGATCGTCGGTTGTCATCTGTTGGTGTTGATGTTGAACAGCGCCATTGCTGAGAACACCTTTCCCATTGAGCAGTTTCCCATCAGAATGAATTTCTGGCTGGATAGTTTCTTTTTGTGATTTCATTTTATCCAATTCACGTTTATTCAATAGGTAGATTAATGGAGGCAATGCGAACATGTAGACAAGTCCACATAGTGAACCACTGAATCTATAAGAGTCAAAAGTAAGGGAAAAAATATATAAATTCAAAAATAACACAACGCCTTAGAAATGCGGCGGTAAAAAGAGCCTTGCCTGCTGCTGAGTTACACTGTATCTTCAAAACCACTCACCACCATTTTGCGTTCGGGAGTAAAAGACAAACTGCCCCATTTCGCCTCTTCCATGTGTATCTACCAATTTAACTGCTCCTTTAGAGCTAGTTACATAGGTGGTACAATTAGACGTGTTTCTTGTTGGATTTCCGAACATCACCCTGCACAGTGGTTGGTTAAGTAAAGGAGAAACAAAATCTATTCACATAGCGCTGTTCTGTCTCATCTCGTGAATACAGAAGACAAGATTGATGTCAACGAGGCGGCTTTCAAAGTAATTTACTGCATACCAACAAATATTAACTTTGCCTTAAGAGTTCGACTACTAAATATTGCTGAGGCCAGCCGTTGGGATCCATATTAAGAAGCCTAATTTATGTGCCCAAAAGAAGCTAGTTCAGACATTATCTTTACCTTGGCCATCTTGTTTCGAATGATCCCCAATTTTTTTGTAGAAATTTCCTTAATTTTAGTTGATATTCTATTTACTATTATATTTTTATTATTATTATTTATGCACTTTTAATGAACTCTAATTCCACTGTGATCTTACTCAACAAATCGATATTATTTAGAGAACACTAATATTGTTATTGACTACTATTCTAGAATATTCTATGTATATAAACACACATCTATATAGTTGTAGAGCCAGAAGAGTAAACTATCGAAAAGGATATTGTTTGCTCAAATATTTTGTGTTGTATAAATAAAAATAAAAATTGTAACGCTAGATTGTTGATTGTTTCCTTACCTTCCATCTTCATTAGCTCTATTATCGACTAAGCGGGGTTAAGGATTTTTTTTGCCGATCTAGGACCGAACACCAGACGACAAAACGCATGAGTGGCGTGTATTCTACCACTACTGATCCCCCAAGACACTATGTGTTAAGCAGGACTAATCTTACCGAATGAGGACCGGTATTTTCAACTTGGCATGATCGCCTGTTGGAATCCCTAACCGTTATACAAGTGGTGTGGTCAAGCTTTTCGTTCATCAGAAGATAAGGCTGTCAAGTGGTTGCTCTGTTGGTCTGTCAAGAGGCTAGGATAAGTGTGCGTTTGTTTCTACTGAAAAGCCGGTGTATAATTACCCATCCACCGAAAATACCCATTGAGTCATGAAGAAAATAAAAGACAAATTCAGCGAAGAAAATTTCCTTTTCTTTGTCGACGAAATCATCTTCACAACCTGGCTGTACAGTCGTATTTATACTTACAAAAATATATAGTGGTCTATTATTGAGTAATAGGGGGTGACATAATTGATATAATTACTCAGAAGTGGCTTCAGAAGTGAAAATTAAAAGTTGTAAATTATGTGGTACTCAACGGCACGAAGATAGAAATTTGATAAGTTTAAAATTGCTACTGAGTAGTGAGAATAAAGGTGTTAGTTGAGTGTCAATTTAACAAGTGTGAAGAGGGTGTGAAAATACACAAAAGGGGCGTATGAGAGTGACAATAGTAAATTAACAATTAAAGCAAAACCAAACTTAAAGTAAGATTAAAAAATTACAAAAAAAACAAGAAAAAAATCATAACTTTTTTAAATAGGGAACGATTAGTGAGAAGGTTAAGACCAAGGTAGAATAAGAGAATGGACAGACGTTTTTTTGTATACAGAGTTCAGGGTTGTATTGATGAATTGCCAGAGCCTCCGCCATACACAAAAGCCGAAACCTGATGATGTTTGTACCACTTGGCTCCACTTTGTAAATTATCTTGAAAGACGGCTCTGGTGGAGCTACGTGACCTGAGTTCATCAAATGCTCAAGAATTGAGCTAGTAATTGTCTTACACTGTCCCTTTGCTAACCATGCCGTTGCTAGTGTAGTATTAATTTGCAGGGTATCGTTGAGTACCACGTAATTTACAACTTTAAATTTTCACTTCTAAAGCCACTTCTGAGTGATTATATCAATTATGTCACCTCCTATTACTCAATAATAGACCACTATACACTTTTGTAAGTATAAATACGACTATACAGTCAGGCTGTGAAGATGATTTCGTCAATAAGGAAAGTTTTCTTCGCTGAAATTGACAGATGTTTAATTCTAGTTTGTAACTGCTCAGTACTAGACAGCCGTAACCCTACCGGAAATCGAACTCATTACCTTTGAATTCAGGGTTTAGCCTATAGAAAATTCAACCGTTGAGGAAACACTTTTGGTAGTAAGTAAAATTAATACAACAGTGAAGATAACTGACAAAATATTTTGTTCTGTTGCATTCCAAAAATTTAAAATCACTGAGAAACAAAACGTAACACACTTTCAGTATTCAACTGTATATGGTGAAAGGTAGAAAGATATTTCGTGACTTCACTGTTACTTCAAGTGTGCTCAATCAGGATGGATCTGCAAATGGTTACTTGTTGTTGAGGGCGGTGGCATTTTCTGAATCAGCCTAATTTCGAATTCATACATCATCGAATTTCAACTCTTTTCTGGAGAATAGTTAAGTTTTCAATAGTTGGTTTGTAAGGGTTACATTTGTTTTAACGAGTTCATCACGAAAAGAGAACCATTGAATACCGCTAGAGAGTAATTGTCGGCAGTACGCGCCTACTGGGGTTCTAACCCAGGACATTGCGGTTACAAGGCAATCCTGTTGGTGATTTGCTACAGGACGGAGTTTCCTGGAGTTTTAGTGAGAAGTGGTGACCAGCGAGATCCATCCAGTCAAGTGTTTGAGAATGGATATCCCACCGATGACATTGTTTAGTACCAGTCACGCTAAATCACGAAATGGTGGAAGTTAGAATTCATGGACTGGTCAATGAATCGGGTCCAAATGGCTGAATGGTATACTAGCTTACCTTGTAATCGAGAGGTCCTGGGTTCGAACCCTGGTGAGTTTGTACTGCCGATAATTTTCAAACTAGGATGAAACAGCTGTCCAGTACTCCAGGACTGGTTTTCAATGGTGCTCTAACTGATATCAGTGCTTTTCTCAATAATCTACCGAACTTAAAAACAATTGTCAACCCAGTATTTTTCAGCCCCAAATTTTACATTAGTCTTTAGTTTTCAGTGGGTCAGGATAAAAACTAAATGTGTATCAGTATTACACAGAGGAGACGTAAACGTAATATTGATTGAAAAAGAAACACACATTAAACTTAACGTACTGAATGATGGTGCCAATTTTCGGTAACAATATCGCAAATGTTAGACATAATCCAAGAATGATCACGTGTAAGATACTAACATAAATGAACCTAGAAAGATGTGAATTAGAATAAGAAAAACAAAATGGAATTATGAAAATATACATGTGAACATCCAAAAACTGATAGAAATGATTGAATAGGTACATTCTTTTCCCCGGCTGGGAGGGAGGGCCTCAACATTTCTCTATGTGCATTCACAAAGTTAAAACTTTAGTTGTGTATATTAGTGCAAACTTCGCTGTATTACTCAATTTAACTTAGACTTTCCCGGTGATGCTGATTCTCAGGTTAACATGTTGCCGCCTCCTTCTGCAGATGGTTCGACGATGTAGTAATTTAGTGGGTGGTGACTGCTAGTAATGGAATCCGGGATGCGAATATCCTCTTATCAGAATAAAATTTTGGTGTCTGAAACGCTGAGTACTGTGTTCGAATTCCAGTTGGAACACAATCATTCACTGGGGAATGCAGGTACATCCAAATGATGATGATGATGGGTCCCAAATAGGGCGAAACGCGCATCGTAGACTACACTACTAGTCACCATCCACCAGTCTACTTCACTATGCTGTTGTCTGTAAGTGAAGCACTGGGAGCGCTAGTTCCTCTTGAAGGTACAGGAAGTGATGGAGAAGATTTGTAGCTCAGGTGGATGATTTTGATGCCGTTGTGTTCTCTGAGCTGGAAGGTTTATTTGCGAAGCTTTCATTGTCCTACTAGGCAACATTTTCAGCGCATACTTTAATTTGAAGTGAGCTTTTATATTTCTCCACGAGTTTATTAGTCATCTCTCATGGTGGGTGACCTTGAACGTGATTGGTTGTTTTCGTGTGTTTTCACACTCTCTAGGTTACTTGTATTGGAACTGATTGTTTCCTTGACTTGAACTTTGATCCTTTGTGTGTGTGAGATTTCCTTCTTATCGATTGGTAAATTTTGTCTATCTCGATATGTTTATTGATTGACGATTCACTGGAATACCAGGCTACAGGAAGTCCTTGATGAAGGTTGATGATGAATAAACACAAAACCTGAGGCAAGGGATTGAAGCAAATTTTGTGTAGCCATCTAAAATAAATTTATAATTTCAAATGTTGTTTTGAAGAGATTTCATTGGTTCCAAGTTGAACCGTGAAATGACCTCAGTTGGAGAAATTCCTGCAAATCAATACTACAGTAGCGACGGACTGCAGGATGAAGTCACCTGGAGTTCTAGACAGATATTATTTATCATTATTAATTATCCTTTGGGTTCTGAGTGGGACATACAGCTTTGGAGAGCAAATCTCCATCTTGTTCTATTGTATGCCTTCCTCTGTAGCTGGGCCGTTGACTGCTCATAGTCTTCCATATCCTCATCCAGCTCACACGACCTCTTCCATGTCATACATGGAGCCCCAATCCGTCGTTTTCTATCTGCATCCCACTCGCGGGCTTCACGTGATTGTCATTCAACAGTCTCCTTAGCGTTCTTCTGAAATTTCCTTGAGAAAAAGCTTCTCGCTGTTCATTCTTTCTGACAATTTAGTCTTCATTATCCGGTCAGCGAGAGCAGTTGCTGATAAAAGTCGGTAAAGTTTTGAAAATAGTTTCGTGGCGCGTGAGCCAAGTTTCTGACCCATAAAGAAGAAGTGACTGACTTCACATTTGTGTTGAAAATTCGAATCTTGTTCTTTATCCTGAGTCAGCTCAGAAGATTTCCGCACTGATTTCAGATCGATGACGGCGTAACTTGCCTGCAAGATTCTGGCTTTGACATCTTCATCCATTCCACCTATAATTGAAACTATGCTTCCTTGATAAGTGAAGGATGTAACCTCTATCGAATTTCTCCAGTCGGTGGTGACTGGTGCTGGTTGTTGCTGTGTCCTATGGTAAGTTTATGGTTAGTTAGGTGCGATATGTGGGTTGTGGAGATAGATACTGACGGATGACACTGAATGTCGTGAATCCCGGATTGAATATAAAGTGGCAAAAACAATGTGATAGTCATTATTATTATTGTTTCCTTTAGTTCCTAGAGGAACAAAGGGATTCAGAAGCACGCCTCCATTCCGTTCCGTCCTCCGCAAACGTTTTCATCTGGCTCCACGTATGCCTCCATGTTTTCATCTCCTCTCCGCATGATCTCCTCCATGTCACCCTCACACTGACCACAAACTCGCCGCTTCCTATTCAGGTTCCACTCGAACGATGACCAGGCGTGTGATGTAACTCACTTGATGGTTTGTTTCCGCAGAGTATGGCCAAACCACCTCCATTTCTTCTTGCATATTTGTTGCACAATTGATTCCAGCTGCGTTGGTTCGTTCATTGCCAGAGATTCCTGCTGCTAATCTTTTATGGTCAGCCAAGTGATCTTGAGTATTCAGTGAAGACAGCTGTTGATGAAGGTTTGTGATTTGTTTGAGGTGCTCTTCATGACTTGGCGCGGCGCGTAAATTAGCACTGACGTTACATTGGAGTTGAAAATCCGGATCTTATTTTTTATTTTCACGCTGAGTGCTGTTAATCTCCACACATACTAGAGAGAAATGAAAGCTTGCCTTGCTTTCCAGATCCTCGCTGCTCTGATATCCTCATTAGTTCCGTCCGCCTGTATTTGAAATGATGCTTCCCAGGTAGGTAGGTAGGTAATTAGGCAGGTGAAGGAGGTTGCCTCTTTAAGATATCTCCCATTTATGCTGATTGCTGTCTGTTGCTGTTGGCCAGGAATCTTCATCACCTAACTCCGTCTTCTCAATGTTCACCTGAAGAAAGTCCTATCTTTGATGGTTCTTCTGCCAACTTGTTGCTTTTCACTTGCATATCTTCCAGTTAGCAGGAAATCAAACATATATCATCGATTCTCCAAGTTTTTTGAGTGGGTCCATTTTATGCCTGTTTCCTCGCTGCCCACTGCAATCAGGAGAATCATTGCGTGTCTTACTCCTCCCATCGCTTCTTCCGAGGATTTCATGAGTTACCCGTTAAGGATTACTTGGCAGGCAGCATTGTCATAAAACAGTTGGATGAGGTGTATAATTGTTGGCGGCACCCCTTTGTAGTAGCGAAGTAGTTTGCAAATCACCTGTCGATCAACGCTGTCAAAGACCTTTTCAAAGGCAATGAAGTTAAGATAGAGAGCTGACTGCCATTACAAGTTGCGTTCAGCGATTATCCGTAGTGCTGCGATTCGATCGGTGCTTGACTTGTTCCTCCTGAATCCAGCCTGATCCTGTTGAAGTTTTCCATCCAGGTAGGAGTGTTTGATTCTCCCCAGGATGATTTGGTTTAGTATTTCGCTTGGGATGAAAAGGAGCATAATACCGTGTCAGTTATTACATTGACCTAAGTCCCTTCTCTTTTGTAGTTTTAATAAGTACCTTACCCTCTTTCCACACCTTCTCCAGCAGTGGTGTCATCAAGTCAACTGATGTCTCTGGGTCCATTGTCAGTTGATTTCGTCTGGTCCTGCTGGTTTTCAGTCTTTAGCATCTTGATTTCTTTCAGGATTTCTGTTCTCGTCAGAGGGTTGATGTCTACTGGTAGTTGCGCTTCCGCTGTTGGTATTATTGGGCTCGTTGTAGATGGCGGTTATTAGTTATCATTATTATTAGTTTCATAATATTTTCTATGGTATTGAAATATTTTAAGGGGAAGAGTTAAAGTCATTTATTTGGTAACATATTGAAGGAGAAAGAGCCATGGAAACTGTATAATTAGTATGACTTACCCTGGATATTCTTTCTTGAAAATAACCGTCATTAACTGGACTCTTAAGATATACATGATCATTGGATATACAGTGAACATTTGTAGTAATGAACCAAATCGACCAATAAATACTGGAATATCAGTTGACAAATTGTTCAAGAGATTCTAGATGACAATTATTCAAAAACAAACAATGTATTATTGATTATTATTGTGGTGAGAGTTGTTTGCAAGACAAAAGTGGTAGACTGCAATTTACATCTACGTTTAAATCTCAAATACGGATCATGCGAAAAAAACAAGAACAAAGGTTAACCTTGAGGAGCTGACCAACCAATGAAGTGATGTTGAGTGGTAATGAGTGACGACAGCTGTTGATGAAGGTGTGTAGTTTGTTCCAAATGCTCTTCATGACGTGCCAAGTCTCTGATCTGTACGTATAGTAAGTAGCACTGACTTCATATTAGAGTTGAAGCTCCGGATCTTATTTCCATTTTCATGCTGAGTGCTGTTGATCTCCAAACAGATTTGAGAGAAATAAAAGCTTGTCTTGCTTTCTAGATCCTCGCTGCTTTGATATCCTCATGAGTTCCTTCCACCTTAACGATGCTTCCTATGTAGGTAGCTAGGCAGGTAGGTAGGTGAAGGAGGTTGCTTCTTTCAGATTTTTCCCATTTATGCTGGCTGATTGCTGTCTGTTGTCTGTTGTTGTCGCTGTTACTGTTGGCCAGGAATCCTCATCACCTACCTCTGTCTTCTCCATGTTCACCTGAAGTCCTATATTTGATGCTTCTTCTATCGCCAACTTGTTGCTTTTCACTTGCATATCTTCCAGTTAGTGGGAAATCAGACACATATCATCGGTGAAATCCCAATCCAGATCCTCCAAGTATTTTGTGTGGGTCCATTTTCTGCCTGTTTCCTCGTTGCCCACCTCTGTCTTTCGCATTGTCCAGTCTGCCGAATTCAGGAAAATTACTGGAAATTTTCTCTGAAGATTCTGTCCAGAAAGACAATGAAAGCGGCTGCTCACCTAAACTGCCCATCTCTATCACAGAATGCAACCACCGCAATATAAGGCATAATGAAATACGAAGATTGTTAAATAAAAAAGACCAAGTTTGATCACAGATTAATGTCCTTTAGAGAACCAGGAAGTATTAGACAGCTGTTTTGTCATAATTTGGGACTCCTGATCAAGACCCAACTACATGGATTCTAACTCAGGTCCTTCCGTTCAAAAAGACAGCTTTTAGACCAGTCAATCAATCAGCCAATACCATCAGCGAGTATCCTCACGCTTGAGACGAGTGGACCTTACCACTGGTCACGTCTTCTCACAACAACTCCAGGCAACTACATGTCTACAAAGTAACTCTTGATAAAAAAGGACTACCATAGAATATCTTTTTCCAGCCCCCCGACGAACTTACATCTTCAATACACGATTTAGCCAGTGGAAAGGTACAAAAGAATATTAAACCAATGGCAAGATATGTTGCAGCTACACAGATAAATGCCAATGCCACATCACGTGTCTAAATTTGGAGAAAACAAAAGCAAAATAGACAAAGATGAAACAAAATAAAATTTAGCACATAGACAAATGGAATTACTATTTCACTTTATTCTTTTTATATTCAACGTTTGCTGAATTTGTTAAAGAGAAGGTGAAAAATTTTTTATTTGGCATAAGCGAATCAGACATTATCAGACAGTGTGGAGTAGAATTACGTAAAATCTTTAAAAAGTAACCAAATTTAACTCCATTATGGATAAGATTTTATTTTGGCAAATCACACAGTGTTGTTGTACAGTAATATTAACTGATGACGTTTCTAGCACAAACTATTGTCGCCTATAAGCATACCAAATCACTCAAACAACTTTTTACTTTATTTATATACGTGTGTGGAATTGATTAGACATTTGAATTAAAAGCCAAAGCATTCTTATAAATATTTAGACTTTAATTCATCTCATCCGTTGTCTGTAAAGTCAGGCAAGCTTAGTTAAGTGTCTAACAAACCAAGCAGTAGCACTAAGTAGCACAAGAAAACATCTAAATGATAAAATAAAACAGATAGAAGAAGCGTTGGTATCAAATTACTATCCTATAAAATTCATTAGGAAGATCAAAAAGGGTCAGAAGCAAAATAAAAATAATGGTGAAACTCATAATGATAAAACATAAATAAGAGAGAATATAAGGCATCTCCAGTAGTTTTACCATATAAGGAGGGGACATCTGTGACCCTACGTAGGATTCTTAATGGAGCGGAAATTATTGTGGCATTAGGGTGAACCTACAAATTCACTCAGGTGGGGCGAGCTCTGTAGATTAAAGGACCCAGTCGACCCAACTAGACAAAATAATGTAATTTACAAAATACTTTGCAATGACTGTGAGTTAAGTCAACCATATAGGTCAGACTAGTAAGTCGGGGTAGTTAGATTATTGGAACAAAAGAATTTAGCTAAGGTTAGAATGGTTGACTCCACCCACGAAAGTAAGTAATTTAGAAAAAAGCTCAGTGATCGCACCACATGCATTAACACACAATAACACATTAGGGTGGGTGGGACAGAGTCAAAATTCTAAAATGTAACATAGGTAAGTGAAGATAGAGATTGATTACTGAATCCTACCTGGTTCATCGAGTCTACACCCAACCCAACGAATGCAACAGAAATGACTCAATGCAAATACCAGCGATATGTATGGAAGATATTATTACCACCAGTCAGTCAAATCAGAAGAGGATAATAAATAATCTCAAAATTCTGTTTCACTTCACGTACACCATAAAATTCTAACAAGTTACTTATTTTGACCATAAAAACACTCGTCTTACTTCTCATCTGATTGTATTTCATTGATAACACTAATATTATTATTTCTGAATGTACATTATCCTATGTTGGTGTTTTATTCAAATGTGTTATCAGTTTTTACTCGTATAAATAAATGAAACAAAAAGTTGTTTGAGTAGTGACTTGATATGATTATGAGTGACAATAAATTGTTCTCGAAACATGGTCATCAGTTAGTATTACTGTACAACAACACTGTGTGGTGTATTAAAATAAAGACTTATCTATAATGGATTAGTATTACTTAAAATATGTACAATGTAACCAGATTCAGCTTTACCTTGATGCATAATTCATCTTTGACAAACAAAAATATAAGAATATTTTTTTAAAAAGCCTTTACTAATTCCATGAAACTTTTCAGTAGGCCACCTTCAATGTCATTCTGATTACGGTGATCACTATTCATATTGTTTATGAAAATAAGTTGGCTATAGATATTTTATTGATTTAATACTACTTCATTAATCTATTGGGTTCCACGTGGAACGCAGAGCCTCAACAGCACATCTCCACTTTATTATATTTGCTACTGTCCTCTTCAGCTGGCCGACCCCATGATTGCTCATAATCTTTCATTTCCTCTCACTGCCGGCACACTCATCGCTTCCCTTTGGGATTCCACTCCAGAAATGGCCTTCATTGCGCGCGATGTCACTTGACGACTTCCTCAACATGTGCCCAATCCATCCAACTCCTTTTTTTCTCACATATTTGTTGAGCAATCGGTTCTTGCTTGTCGGTTTGTTCCCACAGTTTCTTGTTACTTATTCTTTCTGGCCGGCTGGCCATTTCATCTGCAGTATGTAACCAGCGGAGGCAGCAGATGTTGATGAAAGTCTGCAGTAGCCTGTTGGAAATCTTTTTCACCCATATTGAAGAACTGACAGACTTGATATTGATGTTGAAAATGCGAAATTTGTTCCTTGTACTGAGTGCAGAGAATTTACAAAATGGTTTCAGGTTGATGAAGGCGTATCCTGTCTTTCCGATTCTGACTGCCTTTGAAATCTTCGGCTATTTCCCCTGTAGTTGAAGCGATGCTTGGCCAGATAAGTGAAGGAGGCAACCTCTGTTAAATCTCTCCTCTTGATGGTGATTGGTGCTGGTTGTTGCTGCTGTTGACTGGTTATCTTCATCACCTCTATCTTCTCTATGTTCACTTGAAGTTCTCTATTCGCCACCAGCTTCTTCAGCCAGTTTATTGGTTTTAGCATGCGAGTTTTCGAGTTTGTGTGACATTAGACATATATCATCCACACGAGGAATCCAGATCTTCTACAGTCTTGTTATCGGTGGTCCAGCGTATTCCTGTCTTCTCACTCCCCACACACAATCTGACGCATAATGCAGTCCACCACAATTAAGAATATCGTCGGTGATAATAGGCAGGCTGCCTTGTCTGACTCCTGTATGCACTTCTACCAGCCAAGTTTGAGATGTGGCCACCATGCTAAGTGGCTCGCAGCTCTGGGTGACGCAGGTTTGAATTTCAAAAGGGACATGAGTTCCTCAAAGGGTGCAGATACACCTTGCTGACTGGCAAATGCCAGCTAACAGGAAACCTAGGTCTTAGGCTTCTTGCCCATTGCCTCCAACCATTTAATATCAACAATCCTGACTGTACCATGATGGTGAACCAAGTAGCATGGTGACCACACTACAGACTTGACTGATAAAATTCAGGTTGCACCAAACAAAGGACTAGACACATTGCACCAGTTACTGACTAGTGTTCAATCAAAAACATTCCTGAAATATTGATCATGAATCAGAAGTAATAAACTCAATTTGCATTAATACATGTGTAAAACTTGGGCACTGTGGTAGTAAGTAATTCCATATTAGTTTGTTTATTAGATATATCACACACAGAGTGAAGCAGTATTAGTTACTGGATGACACAGTTTCGAACAAAATTTATTGTTCATAATCATATCAGTTTTAATCCCATGACTTTGAAACTTGAGTTTTATAGTTTTCTATGTCTTCTCCCATTTGTTGTAGGGGCAGTACGATTTTCCAGACGTCCGACTGGATACGTGTTGAATCATTTCTATTACATGTATTTGCAGTTGATTTGATAAACAAAGCTTCTGTTATCAATCTCTCCCTATACCCTGTGACATTAGATTTTAAAACTGTCATCCTATCCCATCCTATTGTATGACTGTGTGCGATTGCATGTAGTGAGTGGTATAGCTTAACTATTCTCTAGATTTCTTATCTTATTCGGGTCAACCAATCTAGATTTTGCTAAAATTTTATGTTCACTAGTCTGACTGCCCCAGTTCTACTAGTTTGACCTATGTATTTGACCTGACCATCATTCCAGCAGGGTATTAGATAAGCTAAATTGTTTTGTTTTAAAGGCTCCACAGGATTGATCCTCTAACCGACAAAGCTTGTTTCTAATTGAGTTTGTGGGGTGGTTTGAATGCCAGTCACTTTTATTCCTGCCTGCGTAGGGTTTCCGAATTTCCTTCTTTTTATGGAATTACTACTGGTGATTTAGATTCCGTATTTTTGGTGTTGTCATGCGCATGTTTGACGTAAATGTCGTCATTTATATTACTATTATTATTATCGTTATTATTGTCACTATCACTACTATCATTATTTATTTTATTTTTACATTTCCTTACATATTTCCTGACTAATTTATCCGGGTAATTATTAAGTTTCAAGGCTTCTTTTATGTGTATCACTCGCTGTCTTAGTTTTTCCTTGGTACTACTTAGTTTTTGTGCTTTGTCACTTAAACAGTTCATCAATCCCATTTGCACTTACATAGGATGGGATGATCGGAAGTCCAAATATCTGTTTGAATGTGTGGGTTACCTGTAAACACTAGTGTTTAACACACACACACACACACAACCACACAATAGGATGAGACAAGATGACAGTTGTAAAATGTAATATAATAGCAGGTTGCATGGAGAGATTGATAACAGAAGCTTTGTTTATCAAATCAACTGCAAATATATGTAATAGAAATGATTCAACACGTATCCAGTCGGACGTCAGGAAAATCCTACTACCCCTACAACAAATGGGAGAAGACATAGGAAACTATAAAACTCAAGTTCCAAAGTCATGTGATTACAATTGATATGATCATGAACAATAAATTTTGTTCGAAACTGTGTCATCCAGTAAATAATACTGCTTCACTCTGTGTGTGATATATCTAATAAACAAATTTATATAAAATTAATTTGCAATATTTCTGTACTGTCTTTCAATGTACGCCGAAGATAATGAGTACAGAATATTTGAAATTAATGCTTGGCCTAATAGTAGTTCCAGGAATTCCTTAGACTCTCTGTACATAAATAAACTAAAAAATTCTCTTAGGTTCGTCAACTTCAATTGATTACACAATTGCCACTTTCACCTTCATAACTCTATAGAATATAAAATCTTGCATTTAAAATATTTTTTTTACATCAAGAACCTAAACCATGTACTATCTACTTCCTCAGACAGTTACAGCGCAAGACAGAGACAGTCTATTATTCGCTCATCAGAAACAATAAACGTCAACTCACATTATTCTGCGGTCTCCTTTGAGAACGTGTTAGCGTATGCAAAGCATTATGACTGAAAAATGCCAATGAACAGACACCAGTCAAACTGACAAATGTTGGCTGGGCTTCTACAAAGTACCGAGAGAGAGAGAAGAAGAAATCCTGGGAAGTCAGTCAGAAATAGGTATATGTTTATACATATATGGTTCATTTAGCAACCTACTTTAAGTGAAAACGTTGAGGTGAAGCACAGTGCATGAACAAATATGACAGAACAAAATAACGTTAAAGAACTCAAACCATAACATGAAAACCTGGAAAGCATTTACCCTTAATCCATTGAACATATTCGCAAAGCATCTAGAGAAGGTTTTCTTCCTGTATGTATTCCACGAATGTAGGACATTGAAATATATGAAAATTAGTTATGCATTTCGCTATATATATATATAGATACATTTCTGAAAATATAATCTTCCATAAAATATTTTATACTACTTACAAATATTATAGTAATATAGAGTTTATACTCTCAATTTATAAACATGAGGGACGCCAGTTTACAGGCATCATCGATATAATAAGTAATATACATGGAGTAAGCAGATATACAATTTTTCACTGACAGAGGATATGTAAACAAGCAAAGCTAATAGAATAATTTAAAACAATCAGTTCCCTTTATGAATCTAGACAAAGCAATAAGAAGACGTAATTTGTCTGAATCGTGTAGTGTTGTATTTGCACAACACATTTTGGACAATTTGACCACACACACGCACTTGTCATAGAAATGTGTATATATGAAATTAATAAAGAGTTAAGAAGTGAGAAAACGGACAAGTTGGGTCAAGTTAAAAGGACATAATGAAGGTCAAAATAACAATGATAATCACTAAACCAAAGAAGATAGGTAACTGTGCATCTGCCCTAACTGGTATCAAAACAAAGTTTAACAAGGAAGGTTTAGTGTGATGACGAATTGTTTTTGAACGCATAATGTGGTTTAAACTTCCTGATGGCCGGCTGGGGCTCCCAAAAACTTTAGGGTATACTCCATTTTATAGATAGGTTTAAAAAATGCGTAAACGTCAATTTTATGTCCTGTATCTATAATATGTTTCGCGATAGAGGAGCTAGACCTCCTGTTCTCACCATTAATGGGTTCTGAAGATTCTGTTTCTTTCTAGAGCCATTTAGGAATATGCTCTGAAGCCAGCACTTACTTGCAGACATCGACAAGTCCTCTCTATTTATGTATGTCCACACATACATTCAAGTTGGTAAGCACATTAGGATTTGAGGTCATTTTTCGCATGTTCAAAGGGCTCAGATAAATATTTTGGCTTCGCATCCTCAATTATTATGAAATTGGCTGCATAAAAAGCCTTTTTGACAGCACCATTCAGTCTTTGTCTAGTTATCAATCTGCTATGATGCCCCATATGGGGTAGCTTGATTTACAAGTCTTTCTTTCTTTCTACTTCATATCTCCTGATGAACTTGTCTGGATAATTGCTATCAACCAGAGTTTGTGTCAACTTTCTTTCTTCTTCTTCATCAAGTGTGTCTTCAGTGCATATTCGTTGGATTCTTCTGAAGAGGCACCACACTCACTAAGGCTCTTTTGTACCGAACAGGGCAGAAACTGTGGTAATTAAGATACTGTCCTGTTCAGGTAAATTTTCTATAAATAGATCTTTTTATTGACCCATCAAGCCGTCCGTCGACTAAGCAATATGTGTAGGAAAGATAAACAATTATCTTCCTCTTCTACAGACAGATGTAAGTGATATACCTGCTATTCTGAACTTCATTCATTCGATTTAAAATTGAGGTAGCAGAACAAGGCTTATCACTTATGATTACAATATCATCTACATAACTTCTATAATGTGACACATTTCTGATTAAATACTCCGATATGGAATAATGTCAGTAAGCATATTTTACATAGGTTAAAAACATTTTGTATAATATAATCCTAGTCACTCTTTTTATTTGAATTTGCCGAAAAGACGCGTAGAAAATAAATGCTGCGTTACATGTAGTCGACATGGTGAGCTATTCATGAAAGTATAATACTGGCTTCTAAAACGTTAGCTAGTTAACCAACAACAGCGTTTCCGGCAGTATCATCTGCCAGAGGCTCACAACAGCATTTAGTATCCATTTAAATATACAAAGAATTAATAATGAATCAGCACTGATTCATTTCAGTCAGGAACCGGAATGACTGCGATCCAACCCATAAAAAGTGCCAAATGAAGCTTACACAAGCAGAATACTATCATCGAATGAGTCATTCAGTCTCGAAATGTAACTGTCGACATATTTTCATTAATTCTTAGATATCCAGGTTCATCGGCACTGTATAGGTACAAGGTTTCGATTTGTTAGCATGATCAACAAGTGGATAAAAATCCATATGTGTAATACAGTTTGTTTACTGAAGGAAACTGTGGCAACAGCCAATAAAATAAGACATTCAAGCTTAAGCCTTGAAGTTTTAATTATGGTGTATCAGTTGCGAATCAGATTCGGTTAACACAAACTAAAAATGGGTTAAACAGCCTCTTCCGAAATCTGTTATGGGAAACATTGATAGTTGTAGTTAAAGTATTGGATCGTAAATTAATCATACAACAATATTACGTTTTTCCAGTATTTACTTAGGAATTGAAGAGTTCTGTAAGGGAAGACGAAACTTCACACTGTCGAATATCTCTGTGGTAACTCTTGTAACCACAGCACTGGATGATCAGGGTTCGAACCTCAGGAAGGAGATGAGTCCTCTCAGAAGTGAAGATATGCCTTGCCGAGGAGTGTCAACAATCACTAAACTAGGTCCAAGGCTTCCAGCCGATCGCCACTAATGATCTAATGAAACCGGTTAGTAAACCACTGAAAATTAGGGAGAACTGCACAGCTGTCAAGTCCTAATCTGGGACTCTTCAGCACTGCGCACCCACAAAATCATCAGCAGTCTAAAGACCCAGGACCTTCAAAGCATGCCACCGAGCTCGTTGATCATTCAGTAACCTGGGCTGGAACCAAGCGACTCTTGATATTCTAAATTTTTGAACTTGTGTTGTGGTACTACCCTTCACCACCCAGTCAATCGCGAGTTGGGTCGTGGGTGCACATTGCTGAAGAGCTTCAGAAAGTCAAGGTGGTTGTCGAGTTCTCCCTGGTTTTCAGTCATCTTTCTCTAACTGGTGTTGGTTTATGATAAAATCACACAACTGATATTGAATTAATACAAATACACACAAATCACATAATCGCCGTTGATAATCTTGATTGTGATGGACTGCATTTTAATTCAGACTGTGCGTGGGAGTGAGAATTCGGGAATACACCGAACGACTGATAATAAAACTCTAGAAGATCTAGATTTCGCAAATGACTTATGTTTAATGTCACACAAACTTGAAGACTTATAGGTTAAAGCCAACAAACTGAGTGAAGAAGCAGAGAAGACAGAACTTCAAGTGAACATAGAAAAGATGAAGTTGATGAAGATAATCAACAGCGACAGTTACTTCCTCCACCTATCTAGGAAGTGTCGTTTCATCCACAGACAGTCGGAACGGATGAAGATTTCAAAGCCAGCGAGAATCAGAGAGGCATGTTATGTCTTCATCAATCTGAAAAAAAACTAAATAGTATCGAGAAAGTTCAAGACAGAAGGTGAGGCATATAAGAGAAGATTTCAAACTTGATAATTACCCTGATAAATTAATCAGAAAGTATGTAGGGGAATGTAAAAATAAAATTAGTAATAATAGTGGTAGTCATACTGATAGTAAAAGTAATAATAATGACGCGCATGACAAACGTGCACAGAATAATGACAAAACCAGTAATTGGAAATTTAAAAAGTCAGTGGTACTTCCATGTATAGGAGGAACTTCAGGTAAATTACATAGAATTCTTCGCAATGCAGAAATAAAAGTGGCATTCAAACTGCCTACAAAGTCAATTAGAAACAAGTCTTGTCGGTTAAAGGACCCTGTGGAGCCCATTAAACAAAGCAATTCAGTTTATCTAATATGATGCCCGCAATGATTGTTAGGTCAAAAACATAGGTCAAAGTAGTAGAACAAGTGCAATCAAACTAGCGGAGCACAAAACCCTAGCAACAAAATTCAGATTAGTTCGCCCGAATAAGATAAGAAATCTGGAGAATAATTCAGTTATGGCACACACTACATGCAGTTACATACACACATACCCAACCGTACAATAAGATGGATGGGATAAGTTGACATTTTCAAAATTTAACGCAACAGGGTGAATGGAGTGAGAGATTGATAACGGAGGCTTTATTTATCCAATCAACTGTAAACACGTGTAATAGGAATGATTCAACACTTGTCTAGCCGGTTATCTAGAAAATTTCAATACTACCCCTACGACAAATAAGAAAGCATAAAGAAAACCATACAACGAAAGTTTCAAAGTTGTGTGATTCTAATTGACGATGTGATTAAGAACAATAATAGAATGTTCAAGTATTGGTTTGTAGAGATTTGGTTGATTGGTTACAGGATTTCATCATGAGCTGATATCAGTTAGAGGACCACTGAAAAATCAGCAGGAGGTACTGCACAACCAGCCCTTTCGTCAACCTAGTTTGGGTCTCTTCATCCCTGCACACCCACCAATGTTCAAAGCAAGGACCATTCGATTACAAGGCGAACACGTAGACAATTGAGTCACTGGGACGCGACTCAGCGGTCAGCCCATGAGTTCCAACTTGTTCCATTTCGAGATATAGCGCGGCTGGCACTAGCCAATGTCATCGGTCACAAGTATTTATCCTCACGTACAACCTGCTGTACCCCACTAATCACTATTTCCCACTAGAAACCAGGTAACTACCTACCTGAATAGGGTGGCCAGTCGATAATGAATATCAGGTTGATGTTCAGGTGCTGGTTTTGAGGGATTCTACTGGTTTCAGGATTTCACCGTGAAATGAAAAATACGAGCCGACGACTTTCGTTAGTGTTTGTGCCATATTGTGAATTAGCAGAAGTTGGAATTTATAGACCATTGGGTCGGGTCCCAGTGGCTTAATGGTCTACGAGCTCACCCTGTAACCAGAAAGCCCTGGTTATCA